CTGCTACTTGTACTGCTACTAGTACTACTCCGACCAGTACCCGTACTAGTCCTACAAATACCCCTTCTACGAATAATGATGATAGTACTCCTACTGCCACGACTACTACTACTACCACCACGACTACGACTACTACTAGTACTACTACGACGACTACTACTACGACGACTACCACTACTACTGCTGCTGAGATTACTACTTCCACTGAAACTATCACTGCTCCTATTACTACAATAAGCTGCAACATATATCAGTGTTACCACTGCTGCTACTGTTGCTACTACTACTCCTACAACTAGTTTTGTAGTATTACTTCTGCTCATACCACTACTACTGCGATTCCCTCTACTACTACTACTACTACTACTACTACTACTACTACTACTACTACTACTACCACCACCACCACTACCCCTACTGCTACTACAGCTACTACCGCTACTACTACTGATACTACCACTACCACAGCTACAACAACAACTACTACTACTACTACTACTATTACTACTACTACTTCTACTGCTACTACGGCTACTACTACAACGACAACAACTGCGACTACTACTACCACTACTCCTACTACTACAACTACTACAAAAAATATTACTTCTACTACTACATACGTACAAATACTACACATACTCTTACCACTACTACTACTACTACTACTACTACTACTACCACTACTACTACTACTACTACTACTACTACTACTACTACTACTACTACTACTACTGCTACTACTACTACTACTACTAACACTAATACTGCTATTACGACGACGACGACGACGGCTACTACTACTACTACTACTACTACTACTACTACTCCGACTACTGCTACTTCTACTACTACTACTACTACTACTACTACTACTACTGCTGCTGCTGCTGCTACTACTACTACTACTACTACTACTGCTACTGCTACTGCTACTGCTACTGCTACTGCTACTACTACTACTACTGCTACTACTACTACTACTACTACTACTACTACTACTACATCGCGGCAGTTGGGTGATTCCCGGATCAGTTTTCCTGGAACGTGTGCGGTCTCCTTAAGGGTAATGGCGTTGTTTCTTGGCTCTTGCATGGACGACACAGAATACGTTGAATACCAGCGACTGCTAATGTCCCCTGTCGACCTGGGAATGTACCATTTAACCAGTGTTTATACGATCGAACTCGGGAACAGAGCATAGCCCCCCCCAAGCCTGGCCTCCCTGGCCTCCCCTGGCTTCCCTGGCCTCCCCTGGCCTCCCTGCCCCCTCCTCCCACCGCTTCCAGAGATTCGGATTCCGTTATTTCCGTCATCGATCTCGGACCTCCCTGAGTTCCAAGCATCTGCCCTTTCACGCTTCTCCTTTCCCTCCCCGCTCCGTCGTGCAAGGGCCAGGGCATGCGTGCCACTTGTTCTCGTCGTCGTGTCGTCATCGTATCGTGTCGTCGTGTCGTCGTGGGCCCCGCCTTTTTTCCTGCCGTGGCCTCGCTGGCCTCCCCTTGCTTTCCTTCCCTCTCCATTGCGCTTGGGATTCCCGTGTTTTCGTCATCGATCTCGGGCCTCTCTGGCTTCCATGCACCTGGGCCCCACGTTTCTCGTCTCCCTGCCCCATCCCTCATGCACTCATGCAAGAACGGGGGCATGCGTGCCACTTGTTTTCGTCGTCGTCGCGTCGTGTCGTCGTGTCGTCGTGGCCCTCCTGCCCTGGCCTCCCTGGTCTCCCCTGGCCTCCCCCCCCCCAGCGTCACGGATTCGGTCATTTTCGTCATCGATCTCGGACCTCCCTGACTTCCATGCACCTGCGCCCCACGCTCCTCCTTTCCTTCGTCGCTCCCTCGCGCAAGAACCAGGGCATGTGTGCCACTTGTTGTCGGACCGCCCCCCTGGCCAATGCGGACCTCCCTGACCTCTCAGCTCATGGCTCCCGGCCCTTCTGGCCTGGCCCTGTGGCGCAGAGCCCCTTTACTTTCGTCGTCCTCGTCGTCATTCGCCCCCCTGGCCATCTCGGACCTCCTTGCCTTCTTTGCACCCGGTCGCCTCGCTTCTCCTTTCCCTAGCCGCTCCCTCGCTCCCTCGCGCCAGGGCCAAGGCATGCGTGCCACTTGTGGTCTGTAGAGCCTGCGGCAGCTACTCCGAATGAGCCCGCCTTGCAAGCAGAGAGCTTCTGCGATTTAGCATTCTGCGCCAGCTTCGCCAAGAGCCGGCAGACCGTGAGAGGCAGGGGACACCCAGCCTATGTTTACTGGACTCCTGGACACCCAGCCTATGTTTGCATTCAAACCAAACGAGAGATGAGAACTCAACAACGATTACGGCGAAAGGAGCGGATCGAACAGATACTTGTGGAGGTCAAGGGGCTCGACAGCATCAAGAAGATCAAAAATGGCAAAAGCAAATGCGTGATAACGAGCATGCGGAAAGACGATGGGGACGCTGAATTCGACCGACAGGAGATTGCAGATGTGTTCGCCGACTTTTACCAGGAACTGTATGCGTGCACTCCTGCGTCAGGCGCCCGGGGGAGTGGAGGCAGAGGGTCTGATTCTCAGGGGATGCTCATCCAGGCTTTCACGATGGACGAATCGCAGACATGATTAAAGCAACTGAAGAACGGGAAAGCAGCGGACACAGAAGGCATTGCGGCAGAGATGCTCAAACATGGTGGGTTGAGTTTGAATAGCAGCCTGGAGCGGTACCTCCGGAGAAATGGAGGCATACCCAAATCAGCGTTATACACACAGCTGGACCTGAGGACCTTCCAGGGAATTACAGACTCGACCAGTGAGTCTCATCCCATTGCTGTAATAGTTGTTCCCCCGATTCCTTTGTAACAAGTTGGAGCCCATACTCGATGCCCGGCAACCGCCCGAGCAAGCTGGATTTCGCAGACACTTCAACACTGATGATCATCTGTTCACACTGACAATGGTTCACGAGACTACGCGGGAGTGGCAGATCCCAGTGTGGGCGGCGACGCTGGACTTCAAGAAGGCCTTTGATACTGTCACACATGATTCCCTATGGGACGCAATGGCAGCACAGGGGGTCCCCAAGACGCACATTTCATTGATCGCCAACCTGTACTCCGACCAGACCGCAACCGTCAAGACAGACAGGCTTAGCAGGAAGTTCAACATCGAGCGAGGGACAAAGCAGGGCGATCTGCTGAGTTCTTTGTTTAATTGCCTTTTCGGAGCATATGTTCAGGCAGATTAAGCCCACGTGGGAATCCAGAAAGCACGGCTTGCCAGTGCGACTTGGAAGCAGTCTTACATTGACAAATTCATGTTTGACCGATGATGTCATATTGGTTGGGAAATCCCTCACTCAAGTCAAGCGTATGTTGTCAAACGTTTCGGTTGCAGCAGGGACAGTGGGTCTCCAACTTCACCCGGACAAGACAAAGATATTACACAATGTTCAAGGTCGCACCCCAAGGGAACAACCAGAACACACAGACGTCGGCGGGATGCACATCGAGATTCTACCGTTCAATGGAACGCAAAAGTACGTGGGCCGCACATGTACACTTTCTGCCTCGACGAACGTCGAGGTGGATGCGCGCATTAAGGCTGCCTGGAAGAAATTTGGGATGTTCAAACAAGAACCTCACGTCAGGCTCCTATTCTCTTCGTGATCGGTTCCGGCTGTTCAACGGAACGGTGTCTCCGACATTACTATACGATTATCATCGTGGACTTTGACAAAAAGTTTGGAGCGGCAAATTCGCAGCACTCAGAAGCGAATGCTTCGTATGATTATTCGAGTACCACGACGTCGGACACACAGCTACGCCAGCTCGGAGGAACAACGCCGTGAGCAAGATGATAGTATTGTGTCTGAGAGAGGAGACGGTCAAAGGGGAGGGCACGATTCCACCACAGATATCGACGACATGGCATCGAGTTCATCATCCAGCTCTAGCGGCACCTCCGGCGATCTCGAGCCCTGGCACTAATGGGTACGGCGAGCTACACGTTACGCCATGCAGCAGATGGAAGCTATGGGGTACCAGGATTGGGTGACAATGCGACAATGCAACGTCGGTACAAGTGGGACTTGGCGCAGCAAGTTGTTATCAAGGACCGACACAACTGGAGTAACGCTGTCCTCCAGTGGGATCCTACTACGCAGCCGTGGCCGGCACAGAGGTCAACCGGAAGACCCAAGCAGAGGTGGACCGACGATCTTGCAGCGACTGTACGAAAACACCACGGCGGTGGCAACGATTGGATGTCTATCGCAGGGAATCCGTCCGAGTGGGAACGGATTGGAAAATTATATATGTCAAGCGACTAAGTGACCGGCGCCCCGGCGCCTCCTCCCTGCCCCGCGCGTGGCCGCCCTCCCGGGCGAGTTGGGAGCTGCCTGCCTGCCTGCCTGCCTGCCTGCTCGGAAATTCGTTTGGGCACCTGTTCGACGATCCAGTTGCCAGTTTCGATGCGCACCCCTTGGAGGTCACGAGTGTCATTTCGTCCAGGGCGGTGTGGTCGTTCGGTGACGCCGACGGCTCCGACGGGCCCCTCCCCGTCCTCCACCAAGGGCAAGCTTGTGAGCCTGTCCGTTTTCATAACCGCCTCTCGGCTGTCACTCGCTCGCTCGATCGCCCTTCCGCTCCCCAACCTCCTCCCTCTCCCTCTGGGACAAGGCTCGGTGGAGCCGAATCGGCATCGGCAACTCCTCGGATCGAGTCGGGATAATTGCTGGCTGGTGTCGTCGGCGGATCGACGATAAGGTCCTGATCCCACTACTACTTCTTCACATTCTGCTCCATCACCATCATCTTTCGACCGTCGTCTCACCAAATCCACTGCTGGGTATGCGCAGGCAGATTCCGAGCTCCAGCTTGACGGCTGACTCACTCTTCCGTTCCACCGCATGCTCCCGAAAGCCTCTCATCAGGGCAACTCGCCTGGCAATCCTTCCTGAATGGGCTGCGGAGGAGACGGGAAGCGCCAAGAATGCGGGAGGAGAACCCTTCCCCCCCTGGCGCGCTCCCTGATCAGCAGCGCCGCCGCAACGAGCCCCGCGCCAGTCACGAGGCCACCGGCGCCCGCGGGCTGGTGCTCCGCGGGCTCGCCTCGGGCAGCCCCGCCGGGGGAGGGCTCTCGAGGGGGCAGCGCAGAGCGGGGCGGGGCAGGTGAGGGCAGGGCTAAGCAGTGCAAGAGCGGTGCAGGGGCCACGAGAGTGCGGCGCAGAGGCTGCAGAGCGACCAAGGGTTCGTCTACAGGGACCCCAATGGCAGCCCTAAGGATGCATGTGGGCTTCTATATCAAATGCCTACACAACCACCCTTCGGATGATAAGGAGTTTCGGGGGGGAGGAATCAACATCTAACACAATCGAACTCACCCTCGATCGCATCATCGACCTCACTATCGATCTCACTCGATCGATCAAACTATCGATCTGACTACCGATCTCGCCATCGATCTCACCATCGATCTCACCATCGATCTCAGTATCGATCTCACTATCGAGACCGACCTCTCTATCAATATCACAGTCCATCTCACTATTGGCCTCCCTATCGATTTCACTATCGATCTCATATGTAATCGATCTTCATTTCGGTCTCACAGATCTCACAACCAATCTCACTATCGATCCCACTATCGATCTCACAATCAACCTCAGACTCGCCCTGACTATCGATCTCGCTATAGCGCTTACTGAAGATCCCACTATCACTCTCGCAATCGAAAGTGCCATCGATCACACTCTCGATCTCACTATCGATCCAATTATCGCTCCAACTATCGGCATCACCATCGGTATCACTCGATCGATCGTACTCTCGATCTCACAATCGATCCCTCTGTCGATCTTACTATCGATCTCACTAACGATCCCACTGCCCCTCTCACTATCAATATCACGATCGACCTTACGATCGATCTCACCATCAATATCATAATCGATTCCACTACCGAATTCACGTTCGATCTCACTATCGATATCACAATCGGTCTTACTTACTATGTTTCTCATTATCGATCTCACTCACGACGGCTCTCACGATCGATCTCACTATCGATTCAAATATCGATCTCACCATCGATCTCACTAACAATCGTGCAAACTCCAATGTCGATCTCACACTTAAAGTCACTATCCATCTCACTATCGATCTCATCATCGATCTCACTGTCGATCTCACGGGACACCACGGGCCACCGGGGGCCACCGTGGGACACCAACAGACACCAAAGGACACCACGGGGGGGGGGGCTGACTTCTGCCCTCGCCGCGCCTAAGCCAAAGGAGGGTTCACTCATCTCGCCCGCCCACGCAGCTTCGCCCCGCCCGCAACACGAACACGAAGCGGAAATCGACTTCCTGCTGAGTGGCTCTCCGTTTCGCTACAATCTCACCCCCACAGCTCCGATCCGATCGGGCTCCTTTCCTTCCGTATTGCCATATTCCCAAATAGCGCTTTCACTTATACCTATGACCACCCTTCGGGTGATAGAGAGTTTAGGGGAAGAGGATCCAACGTCTCACTCAATCGATCTCACCATCGATGCCAGTATCGAAAACACAACCGATCTGACTATCGATGACGCGATCGATCTCACCATCGATTTCACCATCGGTCTCGCTATTCCTGCCCTTACCGATCTCACGATCAATCTCACAATCGACCTCGCAATCGACCTTACCATCGACCTCAATATCGAATTGGCATTTCATCTCAACTTCGATCTCACCATCGATCTCACTATCTATCTATCTCACGATCGATCTTCCCATCGATCTCACTATCTATCGCAATATCGATGTCACTGCAAATCATGTTTGACATCACTATTTGCCCCACCATCGATCAGACTGCAAACACCACTATCAATCTCACGTTTGATTATGTTTCCGATCACATTCTCAATATCACAGTCGATCCGACGATCTCGGTCTCACTATCGCTCTCACGGAATATCACGGGTCACCACGTGACACCACGGGACACCGCAAGCCACCACGGGACGCCACGGGCTGCCGCGGGACACCATAGGGACGCCACGGCGGGACACCGCGGGACGCCGCGGGACACCATTGGACACCATCACGGGACGCCAGCACGGGACACCACGGGACGCTGCGGGACACCGCAAGACACAACAGGACACCACGGGCCAACACGGGACACCATCGGGACGCCACGGCGGGACACCACGGCTGGACACCCCGCGACCGCGGCCCGCCACGCGGCCGGGGGGGGGCGGACGTTTGTCCTCGCCGCGCCTTTGCCAGAAATGGGCTGCTTCGTTTTGCCCACCCACGCATCTTCGCCTCGCCCGCACGCGCGACACGAAACCGAAACGGATCTCTTGGTGGAGGGTTTTCCGTTCCACTTCGATCTCCCCCCCCCTCACCTCCGATTTTCTCACATCGACCCGGGGCATGTGCGCCAGTCTGGCCGGCTTTTGGTGGCCCGTCGTCGCGATTTGTCCCTGCCGCAGTTTGTGGCAAACTTGATGGTGCAAGCCTCGTAGATTCTCCTGTCTTTGAAACATCAGCCAGCACGTCTCTAGAACCATATGTTGTGCACTCTGGGTGGAGCAATCCGATGGGGGGGACTAATTTTGAAAAACTTGGAATTGTCAACCCCACAGCTCGCCATCATACCATCCACCCACCCGCCACTTGGTTTACAGAACTCATGCGGCGGCGATTGCGATGAGTGTTTGGTGTTGGCTGGTGCATGTCTGCGGCCGCGCTAGCCCGCGCATGCTCGCGCGCACAGCGGCCAGCTAGTTCGGCGTTGCCGACGCGGCCGCGGTGGCGCAGACCGCTGGGGACTTCCAACCGGACACTTCAGTGCGAGTCGGTGACTTGGGCGCGCGCGGAATCCTGGCGACGTCGACAATGGTAGACGCGATGATGGTCGCAGCGATGATGGCGACGATGATGGCGATGACGAAGGCAGGGCCAATGACGGCGCCAATGCTCATCACGCCGATGACGACGTCGGTGTCCTTGCGTCGGCGATGAAAACTGAACGCTGAACACTGGGTCCCTACGTCACGCGGAACGGCCCTACAACGGGCGGGGCGTCGGCGCCTCGGCCCCGACAAGTTCTGGAAAGAAGAAAGTTTTGAAAGGCGGATCGCCGCACCCGTCAGCGACTCCACGACCATTGGCGGCTAGCCCTCCCTGTCCGCAGTTATTGTCGCGATAGAAGCACCTGCCACGAATGTGCTGCTTGGGATATCTGGCGCAATTGGCATGCCCCCCGCGACCGCCTGGCGGGCAGCCTCCAAGACCATCGGCGCCCATGTGGCCCGGGCGTCATGCGGCTTGCGGGCGGCCTCCAAAAAGCACTGCAGCGCGGCGCCGCTCATGGACGTGATCTCTGTCTCTCTCCGCGGGATCTTATCGTGGGCTTTCTTCTCCGCGCGGGTTATGCGGTTCTCCTGTGCTGCGTGTTCCTCGTCATCGGACCCGGGCACGCGATTGCGCTCGCCGCGTTTGCTGCAGTGGTCGTCCTCGCGTAATTCGTTGACGTTGCGCTCCTCGTCGGCGATCGCCTGCGTCGCCTCGGGGCGCGAGTCCGCGGCGCCGAAATCCTGAAACGCCGCGGGGGCGTCGCCAGTGCCGCCCCAGCCGCTGCGAGTCAGCGGGGAACTCAGGTTGGGATCCTGGTCTAAGTCTGGAACCACGTGGCCCTCGGCGTCGGGGTTCTGCTTTTCGTCGGTGCCCATCTGGCAGAGCAGCTGGTTCGCCTCGGACAGTCCGACGTGGCCGGGCAACGGCTCGCCCGCTACCTCGACTGGGGGTTCCTCGGCCTGAGGCAAGGCCGCCGCGCCAGGACCCTCGGCCGGCGCGGGCTACGCGCCAGCCGCCACCCTGGCAGGGGGTGGCGCTGGACGCAACTCCGGCAAGGGGTGGGGCTCCAGGTGGGTCACCGTCGGCTGGCACTGGCGGCGTCATCGTCCACGACGATCTCTGGCCCCTGGAGCAGGTCCTCGGGCTGGGGCCCAGCGTCCCGCTCGTCCTCGCAGAGACCGTCCTGCAGGCGGTCAAAGCTGCCCTCGTGGACCTCGACGTCGTTGGGGTCGGAGACCCACTGCTCGAACCCGACGGCAGGGCGAAGCTGCTCACGGCTGAGGAGCATGATGGCCTGGCCAACCCGCACCGCGTTGCGTCCAACTCCATGCCGTCTTTGGCCGCCGACCCATAGAGCGCCCCATGACGAGCCCCGGTCATGCGGACTTTCCGCCATGGCGCTTCTTGGGGCCATTGGGCCAGCATCCGACTGGCTGGCCTGACGCGAGCATGCCCAAGTCGTAGCGCTGGTGGCTGGTCTTGCGAAGGATCGACTTCCGCACCTGCTGCTCGTAGTTGAAGTGGCCGCGGGAATGCTGGCTTTCGAGCGGTCGAAGCCGCCGTTCACCACGTACGCGCTGCGAGTTCGCAGCGATGGTGGCGACAGCCAGGCCGTGATCGCCTGAGAGAAACTCACTTGGTATATGAGGGCTCCGTCTGAACGCGCGCAGATTTGCGGATCGCCCCGCGCGGCGAACCGCGCTGCTCCGTGCGCCGCTGACGGCGATAGTAGCCAGGTCGACCTCCTCAGGCGTCTGGACCACGCAGTCGTTGCAGGCGCGGTTCCGAGTCCAGCTCCAAGTCGCACCGCGGCGCTCGATCGCCCCGATCTGCCAGTGGGAGCACAAATTTCAATGCGGCGCGTTGACGCCAAACGACCCAGCTCGATTTTGCAGTAACCAAAGAATCTGCCGTCCATGTCCACGGCGATGGCCATCGGCAACCCGAACGGAATGCCCCAAATTTCAAGAAAGGCGGAGGCGGCCGTCTCGGGGGGCGTTCGGTCGCGCGCTTCGAGCGGCGAGGGTGCGAGCTGAGACAGATGACCCCGAGCATGTGGCAGGCGGTTTTCGCGGCGCCCATGACTGCGAAGAAGTCGGCCTGGAGGTGCTCCCCAAACTGGCCGAGGTACCTGATCGTATCCGAGATCGGCTCAGGCCGAGTCGGCAGGCGCGCCCTTTCGCGCGCGTCGCATATCAGGTAATCGATCGCCAGGTTGACTGAAGGCTGGGCACCCTGCCAGGGGCAGAAGCGGCGCGGTCCTTGACTCCGCGAAGGCAGGCACTCCTCGTCGCCGAGATTTGGGGACTTGATCCGGCAGCCCGCGGCGGCATAGATGCTAGGGTCCGCGGCCTGAAGGGGCGGCGCCGGGCGCCGCGCCCCCGTCTCTGCGCCCGGAGGCCCCGCGGCGCCCTCAGGGTGGACGCGGGCAGCAGCAGGGCCTAGCCGCAGCACCTCGGCTGGCGGCCCGCCGTCGGCGCTGGCCGACTCAGGCGCGCCCCCGTAAAGGAAGATGGCGCTCGCGATCCGACCGCAGAAGCGACTCTCCGGGCACTGCGCGCCCACGAGGGCCTCGGCTTACACAACAAATCTTCTCGGCGTCGGCCCGGGCGGCCGCGCCCCGGCGAAGGTGGGCGACATCGGCGGCGAGCCTCCTGGCCACCCCGCAGGCGCGCAGCTCGCGGGCGAACGAACCCCCTAAGGGCGAACTCTCGCACTTGACCGCGGGTCTGGTGGCTGGGCGGAATCTCCCGGGTGCCCCGAGCCCGCTCTGCCTTGGCGGTCGTAGACCCAATGATAGAGTTGCGCCGCTGGTCGGCGCCCAGGTCGACGCGGCCCCGTCGCTGCTGCCGCCGGGCGCTGGCCGCAGCGTCGCCGATCGCTGCTGGCGGCCAAGGCAAGCGAGAAAGGGGCCTGGACTTTGACCATCTGCTGCGCCGCAGTTGGGATGCAGTCGGCGGGCTCTTCGTTGGAGATCTGTCAGCGGGGCGGCGGGGCGCGCCGCGGCCTTGGGCCCCCGCGTGCCGGCGGCTCCGATCGCGCCGCCTGGCGACGGCCTCCAGCCAGGTCGGGGCGTTGCTGGCCCGCGCCCGCGCCCTCCGCATCAGCTCGCAGTTGCCCGGTCTCAAGTTGCGGGGGCCAGTGTCCATGCGGCCCCCAAAGCGCGCCACTGTTGCGCCAGAGCGGCTCGAAGTCGGGCCACCTGCTGTTCGAGCGCTGTCCAGACAACTGGCTTCAGGAGAGGTCGACCCTCGTCTTGGAGGGCGGCCAGCTGGACTGGGAAGTCGCGGTAGTCGATGGCGTAGGTGCACCAATGCAATTTTTTGCGCGAGGGACCCGCAATGATGACGGGCGGCACGCGCATTCGAACTGCGCGCTGCCGGCGCCGCCGACCCGCGGGCGCCCCGAGGTCGAAGCCGCGGGTCTCGTTGACCAGCTGCAGCGCCCTGAACCCTCATCGGCGCGCCCGCCCGGCGACGTTGCCGACGCCTGCGGAGCCCTCGACGACGCGGGCGTTGCGCGGCGCCGCGGCGCTGATCCCGCGGGCGCCCTCGCCCGCGACCTGGCGCGCGTTCGCTTCGACCTCGAGCGCCGGGTCTGCGCGAGTCAGGTCGCCGAGCCTATGCGTCAGAGCCCCTCGGAGTCCTGCTCGACCCCCTCCCATGGCGAATCGTCCTCCTCCGCGCCCTCGCCAACGCCTCCCTCCAGCGGCGCCTCCGACCCGGGGCGGCGGCTGTTGCGGACGCCGTCTTCGGAGCGACTTCCTAGCGCGGCGCCGCGGTGATGGCCGGCGCCGACGCGAGCAATCTCGACGAGGCCAGCTCTGCTCGGCCAGCGTCGCCGCGGCCCTGGCCACAACGGCCGCCGGCGGCGGCGGGGGAGGGAGGTTGCGGGGAGAAGGCCTGCGATGACTTGGACTGGTCGTCTGATCGCTCGATCCACTCCTTGTCGCCAGGGGGCCACTTCCACCTCATCTGGCGCTCGCCTTGCTGGCGCCCAGCGAACCGGCCGTGGCAGCCCGCGCTGTGCTCCTCGAGCGTCGAGCGGCCCGTCAGCTGGCGGGCGCGGTCGCGCGGCTCGCGCTTCGCCGGCTTCTTCGCGTCCAAGTAGCCTTCGTGCGCACTGGGGCCCTCCGCGCAAACCTCCAGGCGGGCCCCCGGGGCTGGCGCCGCCACGAAGAAAGCGCCGTGAGAGGCCGAGCTCCGCGACGTCGCGGCCTTGAACGTCCGCCCCGCCTCCAGCGCCGCGAAGGGATATGCCCGCGCCCGAGAAGCCAATCACGCTGGGGCCTGATGGAGACTCGCATCGGCCGAGGCCGACGCCGTGGATTCGGAAGGAGCCAGTGGCTCGTATATGGAAGAAGCCAGCGGCTCGAATATGGGAAGCTGGCGCTGTTTGGGATTCAACTGTTTGACCGAGGACGGCACTGGACAAGGCGGGGCTCGCTCGATATTCGCGGTGCCCGCTGAGGCCTCGTACTCGCCGAACTAATAATCGGAGATATCGAGCCGAACACGTCGCTGGCGTCGTCGCAGATCCACCATGGTCGGACTCGCTCACTGATGTGCCGCGGTTTAGCTGCAATCGTTCGAGATGTCGTTCGCGTCGGCGTTCGCACCCGTCGATTGCGATTTAGGACGGTGCGGCAACAAATTCATCTTGGCTGCCTCATTTCGCGACATCGGGCACATCGTCTGGAAAATCTGAGAAGCGCATGATAAGCTGGCCATTCTTGGCCCTCTGGACTCCCAGAAACTCCCAGCAGACCACACGATTCGCCCAAGAGTCCCCCAACAGGCTCCAAAGAGGTCTCCTCCCCCTTTTCCTTCTTATCCTCCTGCTCTTCCTCCTCCACCTCCTCCTACTCCTTTTGTCCGTCATCTCTCCGTTATCCTCTTCCGCACGTGTTCACAGAAGGGTTTGAAAGACGGCTTGAGGAGCACATGGTCCTATAGCTTGGCCAATTTCTAGCCCTAACGACGGCCACATAGGCGTTTCCGGGAAAAAAGGCAGGGGGCGGCGGTGATTCGCCGTCGGCATCTTCGATCCGCCGCCCCCTGTTGAGTTATCACAGAGGTGCCTAGTGTGCTAGGCTTCTAATGGTTTTGGTTATATGTTTAACTCCCCCTGGGGTTTCGGCCCAGCCCGCCGACCGCACGGAAAGCTCCCAACATTCACTTCTCGTTGGTTGAATGGCCTCCAAGGCGGGCACAATGGCCTCCAAGACGCTTCTCTAAGATGGCCAAGATGGCTCCAAGAGAGCCCGAGATGTCCCAGATGCACCGCACATGGCCCAAGATGGCTCCAAGATGGCCTCAGAGGCCAACAAAAGGCCCCAAGAGGCCTCGAAGGGGTCCTCCAGGAAAACCCGTAGAGATCAATAGCACTGATATTCCGAAGGTTTGTAGTGAAGGATACTGGCATTGGGCTTCAAAATGGCCTTCCGACGGCCCCAGACAGCCCAAGAGGCCCCTAGGATTGCCAAGGAGGCCTCCAAGATGGCCCCAGGACGGCCCAAGAGGCTCCCGAGACGGCCTCCAAAGGGCCCCAAGGCGGCCTGAGAGGCCTCCAAGACGCCCAAGATGGCCTTGAAAACGGCCCTGAAGCGCCCCAAGAGAAGGCCCCAAGACGGCCCAGAGAAGTTCCCAAGACGGCTTCCGACGGCTGGAGGCGGCCCAGGGATGCCGTAAAACTGCCAAAGAGGCCCCAAAGACCCCCAAGAGGCCCAAGGAGGCAACCAGGAGGCCTCCAAGAGGCCCCCAAAAAGCTCTTAGGAGGCCTCATGAACGACCCAGGAAGCTCCCAAGATGTTCCCTCATCCTTCTCCTTATCCTCCCTCCCTTTTCCTCCCTCTCCTCATCCTCCTCGTCCTCCCCCACGTATTCCCCGAAGGGCTTCCAAAACAGCTGTGGGAACGCATGGTCCAATACCGTGGCCAAACATTGTCCAAACGTTTGGGCACATTGGAGCAGCTGGAAGGCAGGGGGCGGTGGTGATTCGCCGTAGGCGTCTTCGATCCTGTAGCCGCAAGATGGCTCAGCCTTGGGGGGGTGGGCTGGCAAGGAACCCTTCAGACATTCCTAGAGCTAGAACGATTGCCACCTACATCAACCGTCCCTTTCTATGTTCCCGTTCACCATGATATGATACGCTTCCCCTTCCTCTGAATCTCGTAACGCGTCCTTCGCGACGCTGCACTGGTACCACCTCGAATCACGATCAAAACGTGCCATCCCTCCCACACGCTCCGCCGGCAAGCCCGACCAAAACTGACTAGAAACCCCACTTGACTGTAAATGGCTGGTGCCGCGGGGTGAATGGCCTGCTTGTGTTGGGCGAGGCGCTGCGACTGGCAAGGCTGCATGTCCCCTCTGGACCTCGACGTTGTTGCCCTGCCACCTCGGGTAAGGGCAGAAAAGAAGAGGAACTGGAGGGCAATGAAAGACACTGTGCGGATCGGAATGAGGATATCCAGAGGAAGATGCAGCGGGGCAGACAAGATGCCGAAGTGGGCTAGATGACTACACTGCATCCTGCTCCCCATCCGCCACCCCCGCCCATCCCCATCCCCCGCCCCCCCTGCCGAGGGCCTAGGCTGCGACAGGAAGGCGTCCGCCGGCGAGGCGCTGAAAACCTGGGCTAACACACACACACACACTCACACACCAGGACGGGAAGAGAGCCTCCGACGCGGCCGCCGCCCAGCCCGGCCGATCCGAGGGCGAGGGCGAGGTGAGGAGAGAGATCGGCGGCGAGCGAGGGGGGAAGTGAGAAAGAGGAAGCCATCTCAGAAGGCGGCGGGGCCTCTCAACAGAAGCCATCCAGCCTTCTGATAAGTTCTCCGTGTCTTCGGGGAAGTCTTAGAAAACTTCTCAGAAGGCCAGATGAATTGCCGCCCCCTCTCACTTCCCCCGCGCTGGCCGCCGAAGGGACGGAGGGGGTGGGGGGGAGGCAAGGCAGGGAGGGGAGGCGCTCAGACACTGACTCGCCACAACGGTCCTCCAGGTGGCCCTAGTTTGCGTTGCTCCTGGTGGTCCTTGTTTCAAACATACAGCATGTTTCAGCCTCAGGCCCCCGATGGTCCCCGATCAACACCACCAGTAGGCGTCCCCCAACGTACCCCTAACGTACCCCTGTCCATCATTCGCCTGATCAGAGTCCTCCTCCTCCTCCTCCTCGGCATCGGCCTCCTCTGTCACACATCGTCCCTGTGCGTCGCGTCGGGTTTCATGGCAAGCCCGGCGGGCCTTCAACCACGCCTAGAGGTCGCAACATACTTTCTCCTCCGCCATCCCGAAGGAGGGGATGGAAGGCTGACCACGAAATGTCCTCGTGATCTTATTCTGCGTCCTAGCATAGTCGGCCGCCGAACGGACCCGTGATCGACCCTACTCGGCGGCAACACGTATCCAATCCACTCCACCCTGATGCCACTCTGGCGGCCGAGTGGGCTCACGCACCAATGGGCTCCGCAAGGAATCCTCGGAGAGAAGAGAGGCAGCCAGGGGGAAGGACGACGAGCAGGAGGAAGTGGAGCAGGAATCCGCATCCCTGGAGATGTCTGGAAGGAATCTGACCCCCCCTCACTCCGCACTCGCTCGCCCCGTCTCCCCACCCCTGCCTCCCCTCCCTCGCTCCCCATCCCTGCCTCCCCCACTTTCCTCGCCCTCCTCCATTGCCCCTTCTCCAGGTCGACACCTTCCATCCCCTCTTCCCCCACCGACCGAGGCCATGAAGAAGGCCATCTCGGAGATGGCGGCCAAGAAGCGCAAGGGCGACGGGGGGGCTGCGGCGGGCGCCGCATCTCAGGCAGTCGCAGGCACAAGCGCGGCCTCGAGCCAGGCCATGCCTGCCGGCAGCCAGTGAGGGGGCACCCCTGCGGAGGAGTCCGCGGAGGCCGTGCCACGTGGCAGCAGCCGAGAAGACATCGCAGGCCGATTTCGCGGCGGCAGCAGCGGCGAAGAAGGCGGCAATCATGGCGCAGGCAGCCGAGACGTCCAGCTCGTCCCAGGGGAAGGTGGCGGCTCGACAGCGTCCATATGCTCTGCGACGGCGGGGGCCGCAGCTACGTCGAGTCCAGGTTCAGCGACTGGCATCAGCTGCAATAGTTTGTCGGCACGGGCTGCTAGACAGCCCCAGAAAGAAAACATTCCAAGCCGGCAATGATATCAGCGCCATGTTCTTTGGCAGCATCACGTGCGCAGGGAAGCAAACATGGGTTTTGTCGAATCTCATGTGGACGTCGACGGTATGGGTCATTGGCGTGAGGAGTCCGCCGACCCCTTGTGGGTCTCCAGGCGTATGATCTCGCAAGGTGGGGCTTAGACTCACAAGGAATCCGGCACGATCACCCGGCAAAGCAATGTCAGATGTGAATGAGCATCGGGTCAACGGGGGAATATACTGGTTTCTTTCTGAACAGCATCGGGCCACACACACACACACACACGTTAGTCTCGGCATGGAAGGAGCTTCGGGCTGATGGGCATCAAGCCTTGGACGGTGTCAACGCATCGATCATTGAGATGGAAAAAACCTTCCGTTTGCAACCATATTTGTTTCACAAATACATATTCAGGCGAGGGCTGGTCATGCCGCAACCTGCAAACATTCTCTCGCCTAGGTGCCATACTACTTAACCTCCAACTTCCGTGGATTGCGTTTTTCGATTCCAGCGTGTCTCAAAAGTCGGATGACACGTTGTGATAGCATCCAACACATCAACCGCCAGCTGTAATAAAGTTGGCACGGAGAAAGGTTTTGCTACCACCAATTCAAATGTCCGTCCATACATGCTGAGCGTCACAACCATTCTTGATACGCAGTGGGGAACACATTGCAGCGCAGTTTCCTCATGCACTTCCAACGGTCAAGCTCTCAATTGCTCAATTGATCTTCACCGCTCCCGCCTAAGCTGCCGTGGATCCCCCGCCCCTCCTCCCTCACCTGTCCTGGTTCCACGTCGTCGGCGCTGAAGGCGGAGAGAACGACGCAAGTTTCAATTGCCTCGGGCAAATCACGTGGCGAGTTTGCTCAATTGGTCGGGGATCTGGTGGTTTCCACGCCTGGCGGGGTCGGCTCACAGGACATTGGAGCCACCCAGGCCCCGTCCCAACCCGTTCCAGACGGGGACTCCCCCTTTCTTGGAGCTGCTTCGGGAGGAAGACACACCCGGGCTAGCGAGGGCAGCTTTGCGGCGAATGATAGAATGGATAGCACCGCGGATGGGCAGATGGCTTTCGCGGAGGGCCCTCCCGAGCCTTCAACGCGACCCTTGGAGAGACCCGGTGCGAGTTCGCCACCCTT